CCCCTCTGCTTTTTGCACCACCATACAGAAGTCGCTGTAAATCCTGTCCCACACCGTGCTGGTGCTGGTCAGTCTCATGGGGATGCAGGATGAGCGCTGCCTGTCCCAGGTGTTGTGGCCTGTCCGGCTGGAGGCGGTGGCAGCTGGGAAGGGAGGAGACAGACCCGAGCAGATCTTGCCCAGTCTCCTCTCCACGCCAAGCAATGACCACAGGCTTCAGTCCCGCGGGGCTCTTGGAGGAGGAGCGTGGAGTTTCCCACCTCCCTGAGGTCCCTTCTATTGCTTATTGATATGTATGAAAATTTCTTCCTAAATTAACACCAGAAACTCCCTGGGTTTGGGATATCATTTGTTTTAAGATCATCTAGATCAGTTTTAGACAATATTATTTCATATTCTGTCCATATTATTTTATACTCTGTCCATATTATGGCAATAGTCCCATTGTACCCAATATTACCAATCTATTAAATAATATTTTAATATCGGCCATGTAATTCAGTGCGAGCAGGGGCAGCAAAGGTCACCGCGGTGTGTCCCTGAGCCCGGGGCTGTTGGAATTTCTGCTGCCGCTCCTGGGCAGGGCCGTGTCCCTGGTGAGGGGTGGGTGACACCGGGGACCCCAGGAAGGGCCTCGGCACCCGCAGAGGGGCGAGGCGGGGCCGGCAGCGCTCCAAGGAGCCGCGGTGGAACCCACAGGAGAAGCGGGAGCAGGAGGCGGTGCGGGGAGCTGGAATGTTCCAGGGGATGTGGGAAGAGCGGCAGCGCTGCTGGGGCTGTTCTCCCTCTCCCTGCGGAGCCGGGGCTGCCCGAGAGCCCCGAGCGGGGCCGCGTCCCTTGGGGGGCTCCACTGGCCCCCAATCCCCACGGGCCTGGGGCTCCAGCGGCCCTCGGGGGGGATGTCGCAAGGGCAGGGGGCTGGCGGTGGGGCCCGGGGCTCTTGAGGGGCTGCAGAGAGGAGCCGGGAGGGGTCAGGAGGCGGGCAGGGCCAGGGAGAGGTGCCGTGGCAGGGGCTGGGCAGTGTCCGGCTCGGGGGGACTCTGCTGCGGGGCTGGGGCGGCCAAGGACGGGCAGGAGGAGCCCGGGCAGCTGCCGGGGGCTCCTCGCCCGCCGTGTCCGAGCGGGGCTGCCCGGAACCCTCCCGGCAGGCGGGCCGGGCTGGGCAGCGGGCGCGGAGCAAAGAGCAGCCGAGAGCCGGTGAACATTGCAGTGCGAGGCAGCTTTTATTGGCGTGCGGGGGCAGGGGGGCGGCAGCGGAGCGGGGCCCTGGCCGAGGGCTCCCCGCGGGTCCCGGCCGCGGGCAGAGCAGGAGCCGAGCTGGGGCCGTGCCGGGAGCGGGCAGCGACCGCTGCGGGGCTCCGAGGGATGCGGCGGGGAGGAGGCGGAGCTGGGCCGAGGGATGTCTGTCTGTCTTTCTGTCTGTCTGTCTGTCGGTGCGTCCTTCCTTCGGGCCTTGGCGTGCGGGGATGGGCCGGGGGCGTTCCTGGAGCTCTCCTGGATCAGGGATGGCGCTCGGGCTGGGGCTTAGCAGGGCCCGCAGCCTCTGGGGACGCCGCAGCTGCCCCCAAAACCTCCGAATCCCCCAAGGCCGCCGGAGCCCCCACGGCTTCCAAAGGCGCCCCCGGAGCCGGTTCCCACGTAGGGAGCTCCGGCCGAGCCCACGGCGCTCCGCTGCGGGAAGGAGCTGAGGATGGGCCCGGGGAAGGTGACCACCGTGGCCGGGGGCTGGATGACCACCGTGGAGTCAGGGCACTGGCGCACGCAGGGCTCGTTGGAGGTGTCAGCCAGAGGGGCCGGGGTGGCCACGCCGCAGCTGGGGACACAGCAGGACATCCTTGAGACTGGGAAAGGCTTCTGGAAAAAAACTGCGGGAAAAAAAGAGGCAAAGGTGTGAGGGAGGAGTTGTGCTGAGAGAGATCCCCAAGAGGCTTCGGAGAGCTGCACTTACCCAGGTGATGAGAGGAGTCAAGTGCAGGAGTGCGGATGGAGCTGTGCAAGGAGCTCAGCCCTTTTATACAGCCCAGAGAGCCGGGGGCATCGTCCGGGGGTGCGGGCAGACCCCCCCTTCCTCAATAATTACGAATTCACGCTACCAAGCTTCATAAAGTGCAGGGACGCAGAAAAATTCTGTCACCCCCCCATTGTGGACATTGGTTTGGAAATGAGTGGACAAAAGAGAGGCGCTTTCAGGAATAGCCGTGGCCCATCATTACATGACAGACTCGGTGCTGCTGGAGCTGCGCTCACAGCCCCAATAAACGCAGGTTTGTCCTCAATAAACCTCACTTTGCTTACAAAGAATCCTGAGCGTCCTTTGTTTGCCTGGCCCCGCCACCTTGAGCCCCTGCCCGGCCATGCCCCTGAGCTAGCCGTGCACAGCTGGGCCTGGCCCGGACCAGCCTGGCTCTGGGGGGCTCGGCCAACACCCCCTGGGCCAGCCTGGCTCTGGGGGGCTCGGCCAACACCCCTTGGGCCGGCCTGGCTCTGGGGGCCTCGGCCAACACCCCCGGGCCAGCCCTCGGGGCCAGCTGGGCAATGCAGAGGAGGGCTCGGCCAGGACCCTCTCTGGAGGGTCTGAGTGGTTCTCGATCCTCTCTCTGCTGTCCTGATCCTTTCTTTAGGTCTCCCCTTACTCGTTTATCCCCCCCGTGTCACACCCAGATCCGTGCCAGGATGGATGGTTGGTGAAGCTTCATCTCACATGGGATCTCCCCCTCTGCTTTTTGCACCACCATCAGGTGAATCGGGGACTTAAGAAATCCTCCAGTGGCACAAAAATCCCTTAGAGATTGTCTCTCCCAGAACCCTCCGTGCCCAGCCCTATGCCATGGCCCTCCTCGGGCAGGACATGGGGGCTGCTGCCCCTCTGTGCTCCCCCCAGCCCGCCCCACGCCGGGACTCTGGTCCTGTGCCCTCCTCCCCTGCCACGTCTGGCGTTTGGGATGCGCCCCGAGTGGGTGGGATGGCTTCTCCCTCCCGGCGTCCCTATTTAGCAGCCCGTAAAAAGGATTAATGACAGATGTGCCGGCTGTGCCCAGGATTTCAAAGCGCTCCTGAGTGATGCACAAAACTCCCGTGCATAAGCAAAGCGGGGGATTAGGGACATGTCATGTTTTATTGGGGTTCTGAGCTCAGCTTCGACAACAAATGATCTTTCACTCAGCGATTTGTCACGGTCTGCCCCTCCAGGGCCTGGTGGCTCTCCAGGGCACCTTTACTTGTTCCTAGCCCCAATTAGTATGGATGTAATTAGCCCACGTTTCAGTTTGTGTCAGGAGTTTTGTCCGCTTGAATTCCATGATTAGCTGGGGCTCTGTCACCGCTTCTGGACGGTGCCCCAGGCACTCTGGGGTGTATAAAAGGTCCGAGGGCTCCACAGGGCTGCATCCAGCTCTCCCCACTCGACTCTGCTCATTGATCGCTGTGGTGAGTGCGAGTCTTCCCTCCGTCCTCCCTCCCTCCTCTGAGCCTTCCCCGGGGAGTCTCTGGCTGTGGAATTCCCAAGGGATCTCTGTCCCTGTGGAACCCTCGAGGTATCTCTGTCCCTGTGGAATCCCCGAGGGATCTCTGTCCCCGCGCTCCAGCAGCTGTCCCAGGGCAGAGTTGGGGTGGTTGGGGTTCCACCAGCGGGCTCAAGGCCTCGGGGAGCCCGGAGCTTTGGACGAGGGAGTTTTTCTTCGCTGCCACGGGCAGGCAGGAGCCGGGGGTGGTGAGGGCAGCCGGGCATTCCAGGAGCCGCTCCAGCCGTGCCAGGGCTTGGCTGGGAAGGCCTGGGAAGAGCCAGAGCGAGCCCTGGGACACGGGCTGCAGGCGGGCGAGAGCAGCGGGGCTTTGTGTGCCGAGTGCTCGGCGTGAGCCGCGGCTGTGCCTTGTCTTGCAGCTCTGCCAGCCGAACCCAAGGATGTCCTGCAACAGCCTGTGTGTCCCCAGCTGCGGGGTGGCCACCCCGGCCCCTCTGGCTGACACCTCCAACGAGCCCTGCGTGCGCCAGTGCCCCGACTCCACGGTGGTCATCCAGCCCCCGGCCTCGGTGGTCACCTTCCCCGGGCCCATCCTCAGCTCCTTCCCGCAGCAGAGCGCCGTGGGCTCGGCCGGAGCTCCCTACGTGGGAGCCGGCTCCGGGGGCGCCTTTGGAAGCCGTGGGGGCTCCGGCGGCTTTGGGGGCTTTGGGAGCTATGGGGGTTTTGGCGGATTTGGGGGCTACGGCAGCTGCGGCCGCGGTTCCCGCTCCTTCGGAGGCCCCTGCGGGCCCTGCTAAGCCCAATCCCCGCCGGAGCTCAGTGCTGGCCCTGCCCGCGGGCTCCTCCAGCAGCCCCCGCTGCCTTGTGCCGCCGGAGCCGGGCTGAAGCCGCAGCCCCCGCTCAGGGCCGGCCCAGCAGCCCCGGCAGCCGCAGGGTCCCCGGCGCTGCCGGCTGAGCCCGCAGAGCCTCGCCAGGCGCCTCTGGGCTCCCCAGCACTGCCTCCAAAAGCTGCCCCCTCTCTGCGCCCCCAGCCAGCTGTGCCCAGCCTCGGCTGAGGCTCTGCCCGCTCTGCCCGGCGCCCAGCCCCGGAGCCGCCCTGGCCAGGGCCGATCTCTGCGGTGCAGCCCTGGGCTCTGCCTCGCTGCTGCCTTGGGCTTTTCGTCTTTCCGACGCCTTGTTGCTGGTTTGTTTCTCGCTGACAGCGCCTGTGGGCTTTTCACTCGCAATAAAGAATCTGTGTTGATGCAATCCTTTTGGATTTTGGTTGTTTTTTATGGGGTTGCTGCTCTGACGGCAGTGTTGAGCTGGGATATGGTCACAGGATCCCGGAGTCATTCCGGGTTTAAAAATCTCCAAATCATCATCCAATTTTTGACCGATCCCCACAGTGTCACCCAGCTCAGCGGTCCGAGTGCCATTTCCACTCGTTCCTTGGACAATTCCAGTGGTGGGGACCCCAAACCTCCCTGGGCAGCCCCTTCCAGTCCTGACCACCCCTCCCAGGAAGAAATTCTTCCCCAGATGAAGCTCAAGGCCCAACATTTATCATCCATTAATGAACCGGACTTCTAAGAATCTGCATTGCACGAAAGATTTATTTTTTGTCATGGATTTCTTCATCCTGGCTGTAAATGGGTCTCTGACTGAGCAATGGTTGGAATGTCCGATCATGGAATCAGAGGATGGTTTGGGTGGGAAGGGGCCTTAAAACTCATTCCGATCCACCCCTGGCATGGGCAGGGACACTTTCCACTGTCCCAGGTTGCTCCAGGCCCTGTCCAGCCTGGCCTTGGACACTGCCAGGGATGGGGCAGCCCCAGCTTCTCTGGGAAATCCATCCCAGGGCATCTCCACCCTCACAGGGAACAATTCTTGGCCAATGTCCCACCTGAACCCCCTCTCCTTTAGTCTGAATCCATTCCCTCCTGTCCTGGCACCCCATCCCTTGGGAATTGTCTCTCCCCGTGTTTCTTGTAGCCCCTTCTGCTCCTGCAAAGCCACAGTTGGGCCACCCCAAAGTTTCTCCATGCTGAATAATCCCAGCTCTGCCAGTAGAGGTGCTCCACCCCTCGGATCCCATCCTGGAGCCTCCTCTGGGCTCTTTCCTCTCCCTGAGGGTGTTTTCCAAATTCTCCTGGAGCTCTGGCAGCCCCGGGGCTGTGCCCATTCCCTAGCGAGCCTGGGCAGTGCCCAGCATCCTCTGGGGGAAGAGCCTTTCCTTAAAATTCATCCGAAACTTCCCCTGGCACAGCTTCATCCCATTCCCTGGGGAGCCTGGGCAGTGTCCAGCACCCTCTGGGGGAAGAATTTCCCTGATATCCCACCGAACCAACCCCCCCCAAAAAAAAAAAAAAAAAAAAAAAAAAAAAAAAAAAAAAAAAAGGTGATAAAGGAAGACAGAAAATGTATTTCGGTAGAGAAAATTTATTTGGAAAGAGAAGCTTTCCTACAATTGTGGATCAAAACTGTACAGGATACAAAGAGCATCGTTCCGGGGGTTCAGCCAGGCTCTGGCAAATCACCAGCATCCAAGTGATGCCGCGTGTAAAAACGGGGAATTTCCCTTTTTGGCAGCGTTGCCGTGTGCTATTCCGAGCATTTCAAGTCGCCTCTCTAAGCTCAGTGCCAATAAAAAAATCCGGGATAAGCCAAAGCACGGCGGAAGCAGGCGACTCCAAAGCTGCGGGAGAACAGCCCTAAACTAAGGGAAAAAAAACCCGAGGAATTGCAACACGAGGCCGCCTGTGCCGGGGCTGAGCCCCCGCAGCTCTCGGGAGGAGCCGGAGCAGCCCCGGGGCCGCTGCACCGCCAAGAAGAGCTGGGATTTCACCCGGGATTTCCCTTGCCGCCCGTTCCCCGTGCTCAGCACGTCCAGCGCTTCCCGGAGCGGTAGGAATTGCAGGGATGAGTCCATTGCGAGGAGTAGCTGTAGGAATATTTGGGGGCGCAGCGCGGCTCGGGACGGGCCAGCACCGGCGCTGCCACTTTGTCGCCAGCCGTGACTTCGGCGGGCAGCGCTGCCGGGGCCGGGGGCTCGCCCAGGGCCACCTCCGAGGGCTCCGAGGCTCCCACGACGGTTTGCTGAGGGTACGTGGTGAGGATGGGCCCCGGGAAGGTGACCACCACGGGCGGGGGGTAAATGATGACCCGCGAGTCGCCGCAGGTCACCACGCAGGGCTCGTTGGTGCTGCTGGCCAGCGGTTGGGGACACTTGGGCTCGCAGGGGGTGGCACAGGACAGTTGGGTGGAAGCCATCGCCCGGAGGTGCTGGGGGAGAGCCTGCGGGGTTAAAAAAAAACCAAAAAAAAAAAAAAACCAAATAAACAAAGAATGGTCCAAAAGCGAAGCGGACAACTCCCGGCGGCTCTTGGATGTTGGCATTTTTCTCTAAGAGACGGTCAGAGGAAATTGGGATAGAGACAAAATTTGAGCGCTGGTTTATTGACATTTGGCTCTAAGAAATCGTCGGAGAAAACTGGGATAGAGACAGAACTGGAGTTCTGGTTTATTGACATTTGGATCTAAAAGATCGTCAGAGGTAATTGGGATTGAGACAAAACTCGAGATCTTGTTTATGGACATTTGGGTCTAAAAGATCGTCAGAAGAAATTGGGATAGAGACAGAACTGGAGCGTTGATTTATTGACATTCGGCTCTAAGGGTTTTTAGAGATAATCAAAATAAAGACACGAGCCGAGCGCTGGTTTATGGACGTTTGGCTCTAAGGGTTTTTAGAGATAATGGAGATAAAAACACGAGCCAAGCGCTGGTTTACTTGGCTCTAAGTGGTTTTTAGCGATAATTGAGATGTCTCTAAAAGGATGTTGTGCTCCTAAACTCGGGAAAAGAGAAAAGTGGAGCACTCGGCTATTGACATTCTAAGAGATAATTCGGGCAAGAACGAGACTTGATCGCTTGTTTGTTGACATTTGGCTCTAAATGGTCTTCAGAGATAATTCGGATAAAGACAAGAATTGCTCTCTTGGCTATTGACATTTCGTTTTAAGGTCTTGTTAGGGATAATTAAGATAAAACCAGTAATTGCTCTCTTGATTATCGACCTTTGCCTTTAAGGGATCCTCGGAGGTAATTTGGATGCGGCTTTATCTCCCACCTTTAACTTCCCCCGCCCCGATTTGTTCTGAATTTCTGTTAAATTTCCCCCATTTTCTCCTCCTCCCCCGGGAGCAGAACTCCTCCTCTTTCCTCCCGTGCCACCTCCAAGCCCCGGCCCTTTGGAGGAATTCCCGAGGACGCGCTGGAACTCGTTCCTACAGCGCCTCTGTTCCTCCCACACGGGGAAAAAAAAAAAAAAAAAAAAAATCCGGATTTTCCACGTATTTCAGCGTGGAATAATCAGCTTAGCACCCGGCTTAATTTTTGTATTATTTTCCTTGCAGATTCCTGTTGTTTTCAGGCAGGAAAATATTCTGGTAAAACACAGGGGAAAAAAGCAAAAGGCTGAGAAAAAGTGGGAGGGTTAAGTGCTCGTTTAATAAGTGAAACGTATAATTAAAATATTTATATAATATAATATATATATGTTAAAATATTTCTATAGTGATATAATCAAGCCAAATAAGAAAATTGCATTTTCACCTAAGGGTGAAATTAAATCAATAATGTTTATTTCTTCAGGTTAAATCCTCACATAAAAGCCTGGTGTAGCATCAGAATATTTTTTTAAGCTTGTAAATTAAATTTATCCTTTTGATAATTAAAAAAAAAAAAAATTAAAATACCCGTGCAGGGCATTTTCCTCCAAATTCCCCAGTAGGAACGTAGCACTGACCTACAGAATTGCTGGATTTAATCTCTGTAAAAGCGCTTTAGAACTGTAAATCAGTTTTAAGAGTTAGAAATGAAAGTTATTGGCACAGTTACGTTAATAATCCATAATAATCGTTCGCTGTGGCTCCAATTAAATTAAGAACGGGCTGATCCAAGCAGCGGCAGAGGTGCACCGAGCTCCCTTCCAAGCAGGATTTTCCCACAGTTTTCCATGAATTCCACACCAAACCCACCCTGAACCCTCTCCCTGATCGCTCCACGCAACCAAACGCGAATTTAAATCCATCCCCGAAACTTCTCCAGATATTTTTCCAGAATGAAAAGACTGCAACCCCTCATTCTCCCATAAATCCCAAAGCCCTGCTTTGACTTTTCCCCTTTTTGCCCAGCACGAAAAGCCCTCCTAAATCCCTCAGAACCGGACCATTCAGGCAAGGCTCAGCCCCGATTTTGAGGAGAAAAAGCAGAAGAAAAATGGAAGTTTTTAGAGCCGGGGAGCCCGAACTTACTCAGAGAGGCGGAGAGGAGGAGTCGGGAGAGGCAGTGAGGAGATGCCAGGGTGGAGAGGGGTTTTATATCCTGCCCCGATGGCCGGGGGCGGCTGAGCCACTCTTTGCTAAAGCGCTTTAATGACTCGGGAGCCGAGCCCGGTGCAGGGATCGCTGCTGGAGCCGCAGGAATTGTTTTGCTGGCTGTTTATGATTATCTAAAGCCGCGTTGGGCAATAACCCCAAAAATGCAGATGGCAAGCCGCCAGGTCTTTTCATCTCGGAATTTCCTGCTTTTCTCCTCCTGGTTTCATTAAGAGGTGAAAATGCAGCGAGAATTAATGAGGGTTTTTTAGCTTATCTTGGCTAAAAGCTGGAGTGCGCGGGGAATTTTGGAGTGCCAGGGTGATTTTCCTTATGGAAGCAGAACCTAACACAGGGAATTGTGGCCGTGCCTCGTTTATCAAATCGGGGATTCTTTCCCAAAATATTGGTGGGATTTACGGATGTGCTCCTAAATCAGGGGAAGGATCTGGTGCAAACCTGAAGAGCGAAGCTCGGGGTTATCTTTGGAATAAAAACGAAGCCGTTCATGAATTATGCCGATTGTGAAGTTTAAAATGAGGAGTTTGGTGGAACACTTTCCATAATTTATTCTTTGTGAGGTCGCAGCAGCCCGGATCCTCTAGGATGTCATTACCGTGATTACCACGAAATTATTTCCCTGGATGACAAACTCGCAGAGGTTTTGAGATCCTCTTTGAAATCTCATTTTCTGATGTCTCCGGAATATTCCCGATAAGCTCCAAAGCCCGGCGGGATCTCTGGAGTTGCCTCACACAATCAGAATAATTCCTGGGATGCCACGAACCCCGGGGTGGTTTTACCTCGTCTCAAGGTGGGAATTTCCAGGCTTAAAGGTTCCCTCCGGAGGGAAGAGGGAGTGAAAACGGGAAAAAAAAGAGGTGCAAAGGACAGGGATTTTGGGAAGATCCTCCCAGCGGATTCTTTGTGAGCAGGGAACAGTTGGGGCCGTGTGGGTCCTTTTGGAATCACGTCCATGGCAGAGGAATCCTTTTATTTCCCCCCAAGGATTTAATCCTAACGAGGTTGAATGGACGTTGCCTATGAGGAGGAGCCCAAAATCCCGCCCCAGAATCGAAAATTTTCTTCTCCTCCCGAAATTTCCCATGTCTTTGTTATCAATCACCCTTTGGAATTTCTTGCTCCAACACCTCTCCCCCTTCCCAAAATTCCTGTTCCAGACCAGAAGGATTAAAGCACAAGGAGAAAGTGTGGAATTCACCCCTCCGAAAGGATTCCAGCTCTCCTCAGCTGATCCCTGTGGCATTTGGGAATTCCCAACCCAGGAACCGAATCCTGGCTGGCAAAATCAGTCCCTGGAGCACAACGGGATCGACTCCTCCCAAAATCCCCCCAAAATGCAGAAATCTCAGGTGGAATTTTCTCCTTTCCACCCGCGTTTTGTGTTTTGCTCCTGTGCCTGCAGTTGGTTCGTCAGGAATTTTGGGGCCAGGGATGGATCCAGACTGAACGAAAGGGAGGTTTAGGGAGGATTTTTGGAAGGAATTGTTCCCTGTGAGGTTGGGGAGGCTCCGGCACAGCTTTTCCAGGGAATTTCTGGGAAAATCCATTCTCAAAACCTTCCCAAATATTTTTTTTTTCCCCCCCAGAATTAAGAAACTGAAATCCCTCATTCTCCCATAAATTCAAAAGCCTTGGGAAAGCCCCCGCTTCGATTTTTGCACCCTTTACCCGGCACAGAAAGCAGAGCAGAGAAAGCTCCTAAATCCCACAGAACCAGAATATTTAGGCAAAGTTCAGCCCCGATTTTAAGGAGAAATCCACCAAAACGAAGAAAAGTGTCCGAGGCCAGGCTGGAAGGAGCCGGGACCGCAGCAGGAGTGGAACTGGGCGAGTTTTAAGGCCCCTTCCAGCCCAAACCATCCCGTGAGTAACAAAGGGAACAAAGAGCAAGCGCAGACTGCAAACCCCACAACAGAGAGCCTTAATAACCATTAATCCTAAATTGTCGTAGAAAATTACATCCTTGCGCAGGGCAGGGGCAGCTTTAAGGCCGGTTAATTCGGTTTTTTGTGCCCGAACCGGTTCGGCGGGGCTGCAGAGCCGCGGGGTTCGGTGCCGCGGCTGAGTCAGGAGCTCTGCCTCACGGAAGAATCATCAAAGAGAGGATTTGGGGTGGGAGCGCTGCTGCCGGAGCTTCGCAGCCCTCGCTGCCCTCACTTCAAAGCGTCTCTGCCCGCTGACATCAGCGGCACAAAGCTCGCATCAGCAACAATTCCGCCCATCGGGCAGGAGGAGCGGGTAATTAACGGCAATTAATGCCTCGCTCGCCGCGCGTTCTGCTCTATCAGGAGTTCTGATTTCGCAGGGAAAGTCGGAGAAGCCCAAAATCCAGGCGGTGACCCCCGGCTTGCTCAGGGCAGGGAGTGACCTCGGTTAGTCTTGGGTGGTTGCCCAAGAGCCGGCGGCTCCTGGGTGGGGATAAATCCCCGAACCCGCCCGGGGAAGGATTCTGGGGTTGGAGGAACTTGGAGAACGCCCGGGGAAGGACTCTGGGGTCGGTGGAACCCGGAGCACGACCGGGAAACGGTTCTGGGGTTGGAGGAACTTGGAGAACGCCCGGGGAAGGACTCTGGGGTCGGTGGAACCCGGAGCACGACCGGGAAACGGTTCTGGGGTTGGAGGCACTTGGAGAACGCTCGGGGAAGGGTTCTGGGATTGGAGGAACCCGGAGAACGTTCAGGGAAGAGTTCTGGGGTTGGAGGAACCCGGAGCACGAACGGGAAAGGATTCTGGGGTTGGAGGAACTTGGAGAACGCTCGGGGAAGGGTTCTGGGATTGGAGGAACCCGGAGAACGTTCAGGGAAGATTTCTGGGGTTGGAGGAAACCGGAGCACACACAGGGAAGGGTTCTGGGCTTGCTGGAACCCG